TATTTTAGGAGCTAGGCCTTAAGGCTTTGCATTTTGACAGGTCTCCATTTCTTATTCTGAACACTTTTGTGAGTATATTTTGTGTTGTATGAAAAATTAGCTTTGGAAAGCTCATGCCGCTAAGTGATTCACTGAAATACAATCAGATTAAAGAGATAGGGAGTTTAATTATTAAGATTCTTGTAACAGGGTATAATTTCTGCCTTTCTTCCATCCCCTATGCTGTCCTTGGCTCTAAATATTTAGGCAATGGGCTTCTGTCATGATTTTATATCTGTCTCTAAGGGTATGTCTACACTATGAGCTAGGGGTGTCAGTCCCCTGTTTGTGTACACATATTCACACTAGTTCTCATCAAGCTAGTGTGAGTATAAATAGCAGTGTAGCCACGATCGCATGGGCAGTGGCAGCAGAGGCACGGCTGAGTCATGCCAAGTACATACCTGCCAGCGCTGCTCTACTGTGCCTCTGTTGCCACTACCCATGCTACTGTGGCTGTACTGCTATTTATACTCGTGCTAGCTCAATGACAGCTAGCGCGAGTATATGCACACAATCAGGGAAATCACAACCCTACTTCATAGTGTAGACCAGGGGTTCTCAAACTTCATTGCACCACGACCCTCTTCTGACAACAAAAATTACTTCACAACCCCAGGAGGGGGGACCGAAGCCTGAGCCCTCCTGAGGCCCACTGCCCCAGGTCAGGGGGCCAAAGCCCAAGCCCGAGCCCCACAGCTCAGGGCAGGGGGTCCAAAGCTGAAGCTCAAGTGCTTCAGTCCCAGGCAGGGGGGCGGCAACCTGAGTTCTGCCATCCAGGGATGAAGCCCTAGGGCTTTGGCTTCGACCCTGGGCAGTGGAGCTCAGGCTTCAGCACCAGGCCCCAGCAAGTCTAAGCCAGCACTGGCAACCCCATTCAAAGGGGGTTGTGACCCACTTTGGGGTCCCGACCCACAGTTTGAGAACTGCTAGTGTAGACATTGCCTCAAGGTTGGTACCTAAGGAGTTTGAGTGATTTGCCCAAGATCACAGTAGCAGGGTTCAGTTCATGTTGGTCATGTGGAGAAAAATGCATGGTTCATTTGCAGTGGATCATTTTGCAAGTTCACCTACAAGCTCACATGGGGTTTTGGGTTCTACACAACTCAGAAACTCCATTAAATTAACTTTCACCTTTTCTCCAACTAGGATGCATCTTTTCTTCCTTCTCCATTTGTCCACCAAATCTGACCTTGTTTGTCATCATGGGGAAGTAGGTGCTGATGACGTGACTCCTGGTCTATCTTGTGCTACTCGCTCTATGATCTTCCCCAAAGTGGTTAAGAAGCATTTTTTTCTGCTTCTGTACCTCCATCTTTTTGTTCTTCCCCATTCAATTCAAGGTCTTATGAGGTGTTAAGTGGGAAGAAAAAAAAATTGTGTCCCTGTCGCGAGGCAAGTGCACCCCGTCCCTTCTTGGGATGGGGTGGGGGTAATGATGGCCCCGCGGCTGAGTCTACACAACCATCACTTGTCTTGGGATAGCTTGGCCTAGGGTAAAAGTCAATATGGTGACCCTCTCTCAGGGATGTGTGGCCTAGTGGTCAAAGTTAATAGGGCTGCTCTGTTTGGCAGGGCTGTGTGTCCTAGTGACCAGAGCCAATAAGAAGGGCTTTACAGCCTAGTGGCCAGGGTCAGTAGGACTGCCCTGTTCAGCAGGGCTGCGTGGCCCAATGACCAGATTCAGTATAATAGCCCTCTTCAGTAGAGCTGTTTGGCCTGGCGACTGGTCAGGGGAGTGGGCCACCACCTGAGGGGTGGGGGGTGGCCGGGTAAGGGGACCTGGGCCCTCGCTGCTTCACCGGGTCCCAGCTCAGGGCCCTGTCATTGGCAAGTATGCCTGCCACTGGGTCAGCAGGGAATCTGCCTGAAACACACTGACCCCATGTGGCACAATAACTAGTCCCCCTGAGCTACTTTCTACCCTGTTCCTGATGCAATGGCTCCAAGATCTCTGGGCTCCTCTCCTTGGGCATCCTCCGGAGTCTCAGTGTCCCTGGCTTCTGCCATCTGGGGCTTTCACAGTTCCCAGGCTGGAGCTTGCATCATGTGTCCTCCCTCCTTCTTGGTCAGTCCTGAATGAGCCGAGCTGCTCCCTTTTATATCTAGTCTCCAGCCGGAGCATGCCCCACCAAGGCTGTGGGGGCATGGCCACCTCGTCCCAGAGAGTAGAGTTAACCCCCACAGTACCAGTGCAGGGCACGTGTGCCCCGTCACAGTCCCCTACCACTAACACTCCCATTCCCAACTAACTCTATTACTGAATCAGCTGCAGAGAAATCCTGTAATATTTAGCAGGGTAGTTAAAAACCTCCCTTGGGGTTTCCGAGCAACCATGCCCTAGAGCAGGGGTCTCAAGCTCAAATGACCATGAGGGCCACATGCGGACTAGTGCATTGGCCTGAGGGCCGCATCACTGACACCACCCCACGTCGTGTCCCCGGCCCCACCCCCACTCCACCCCTTCCATGAGGCCTCGCCCCTGCCCCGTCTCTTCTCCACCTCCTCCCCTGAGCGCGCGGCTCCCTGCTCCTCCCCCCTCCCTTCTGGAAAGTGCTAAGCGCCACCAACAGTAATGCATCTCACTGAAAGGACAAAACACGCACTTAGTTAGATTTACTTCTGTTAAAGCCTCCCCACTGCACTGGGTGCACCACCACTCCACCCCAGCTCTGCCTCTTCCAGGGGTGGCAGGTTTGTAGAAATTTTGGTGGTGCCCAGAACCTGCCCCCCCAAACTCCGCCCCCACCTGCCTAAGGCTCTGGGAGGGAGTTTGGGTGCTGGGTGCAGGCTCCGGGCTGGGGAAGGGGGTGAGGGGAGCAGGCTCTGGGATGGAGTTTGGAGATAGGAGGGGATGCAGGGGTGAGGGCTGTGGGGCTGGGGATGAAGGGTTTGGGGCATAGGAGAGGCTCGGGGCATTGGAGAGGCTCAGAACTAAGGCAAAAGGGAAGGGGAAGGGCAGCCTGCCCTGGCCATAGTGGAGGGGGACACTAGGACCCCGTGGCAGCAGGTGATGCCGGAAGCCGGCAGAGCGGACCGGAGTCAGCATGAGCTGCAGGCTCCCAGGCGGTGAAGGGGCAGCAAGTGAGCCTGGGGGACACTCGGGGGAGATGCGTGGGGGTGGCAGCCGGGGCCGGGGGAGAGACCCGGCCCCAAACATTGGGGAGCAGGGAGCTTAGCTGCCACATAAAATAACTCGGTGGGGGGGGGAGCTTGGCGGGTCGCAGGGAAGAGCTCCGCGGGCTGCATGTTTGAGATCCTTGCCCTAGAGTTTGAGGCATCATCGCTATCGTGTTTGCTTGGAAAACCCAGGTCTTCCTGAGTTACCGCACTAAGGATTCGAATGCCTTTCCGCAACCAGTTCAGTAGATAAATGGTTTACAGATGTAGTGGATGTCTTTCATGGCTGTATCAAGGATCAGAGGAGATCAAAAATGAAACCAGTGAGGCATCAGCCTTTTCTAGGTGCTGGTGGCATTCCTAAAGACCATAGTTGGGGGAGAGAGTTTTTAGAACCCCCTGATGATCCTGTGAAGAGGCCCAGAGAATTCCACCTAGACTTAGGCACTATAGTTTCCTCCTGCTCCTGCCTATCCCATCTTAAGAGATCTAAGACTAGGTTAGGTGGTTTCCTGGGCCAATAAAGGGAGAGAGCCAGCTGTTTGGGGGGGGGGGGCAAGGGAGGCAAGGTACCATGAAAATACCTTGAGGCCAAATTCCTAGAGCTTTCTTGAATCTGGGCTGAACTTAGTGGTTTGCAAAGCAACACAACCCTACCGTGATTTTTGACCTCTAGTCACTACAGCCCAATATTGTCATGCCAAAATTAGGAACCCAAATAAGTGACCTGGCCTTAAGAGATGCCGCTGAACACCTGGAACTCCCACTGAGGTGAAAGGGAGCTCCAAGTGCTTAGCACCTCTGAAAATCAGACCGTTTTTATTTATGTGCCTTTTATGATGTTAGGCACTTGACTTTAGACGCCCTCATTTGCAAATGTTGATCTACCTTTAAAATTACAGTCCAAGATTCTCTTGGCTTCCATTTCTATATTAATCACTAGACAGCTCTGACGGTTGCTTTATGTCTTGTTGGACAGCAGAATGGTGATCAGGAAACTGAATAATAATGAACTTTCATAACAATAATAATGGACCTTCACTTGCAGTAACACCAATTTATAATAGAATCCTGTCAGGCCTCACAAATTAAATGGGTTCTGGACAGGTTCATAATTTGGATGGAAGATCATCATCATCATAGTGTTGTTGATGGGTCAGCAGATGACATAATTTCCTCTGAATCATTACTGAATAGTATCCCAGAGTGATACTACTGAGTCCTTTGAGCCTCAATGGAGCTGCCATCTTTTGGATGAGTTGTAGAATGACAGCAGTTCAGAGATTGGAAAAAACTTCGTTTAGTTTCTCTCTCTCTCTCTTCTTTGTCCTAGCAGAATGATTCCCTGTTGTACATTTACTATTTTTAAAATTTATTCATTTAAAATCTTCTAGAATAGCAAAACAGATTAAAAAGACATCCTAAAAAGCCTACCATAATAAAAATAAAATAAACAAAATATATTTTGGGGGCAAAAAAATCTATGCCTACTTCTCACTCGCCCAGTGGGTATTTAGCTGTATTTTGTTTTGTCAGGCCTAATTTTTGAATGTCCCAAATAGTGGGATATTTTTAATGTTTATCTTAAATTATCTCTTAATTTCACCCCATACATTTTTATATCATTTTATATGATCTCAGATAATTATTTTCCCTCCTTACTATTGAACTTTCAAATATTTTAAATGTTTAGATATTTTAGACTGCTCCCTTCTACTTGTCACTAACCCAAATTATACATATTTAACGCTTTTAGTTTGTCATTATAAATCAGTAGCTCAAGCTCTCTGTTTTCCCAAACTACACAGTAAGGATAGTTTAACTGTTTTCTTTTTCTCTAGGGCCACCTTCTGCTCCACGGAATGTGATTTTTAATATTAATGAAACAGCTCTTATGTTGGAATGGAGCCCACCTAGTGACACGGGGGGGAGAAAAGATCTCACCTACAGTGTCATCTGTAAGAAATGTGGATCAGACACCAGCCAATGTGAGATATGCGGTGGAGGTATCCGTTTCATCCCAAGACATACAGGCCTGATTAACTCATCTGTGACTGTGCTTGATTTTGTGTCTCATGTGAACTACACATTTGAAATAGAAGCCATGAATGGAGTCTCTGAGCTGAGTTTCTCCCCCAAGCCTTTTACAGCTATCACAGTTACCACAGATCAAGATGGTAAGTTTTGTTGTTATGCATCAATTACTGCCTGTACAGTTTGTGTATATTAGTTGTAGCACCTGTTTTAATGATATCCAATTAGATGAGTAAGTTTTGCAAATTATTAGAAGTTGCTAAGTGCCTTTTGTGCAGGGTTACCATCCGTCTGGGTTTCCCCGGACATGTCCGGCTTTTTCAGCTTTAAATGGCCGTCCGGCGGGGATTTCTAATAAAGTAGAAATGTCCGGGATTTCCCCCTTCCCCTCATGCAGAGTGCGGCGCGGCTGATTGGACGGCTGGGCCTGATTGAAAGCCGCTTGCAGCCACTGGGGCCTCTAGCAGCCAGAGTCCCTCCCCCTCCCCTGCTCCCTCCTCCCCCGCAGAGCAGCGGGGCAGTGTTTGGCTGCACGTGGAGCTCGCAGCTCTCCCTCGGCCTGGTAAGGGGGAGCAGGCAAGGGACAGGGAACGGGGAAGTTAGATTGGTCGGGGGTTCTGGAGGGGGCTGTCAGGAGAAGGGGGTGTAGAGAGCGGTTGGGGCAGTCAGGGGACAGGGAGACTTAGATAGGGGGTGGGGTCCTGGGGGCAGTTAGGGTGGGGGTGGGGGTCTCAGGAGAGTGCAGTCAAGGGACAGGTAGGGGGATTCTGAGGGGGGCGGGAAGTGGGAGGGGGCAGGGCTGGGGTGGGGCTAGGGCGGCACCCCGTGTCCTCTTTTTTGATTTGTTGAAATATGGTAACCCTACTTTTGTGGGGGCTTTGAGCACTCACAGTTCCCATTCATTGATAGCACTCAGCACCTCTCATGACTAGTTCTTATGGCACCAATATATAAAAGCACATAAGCACATGCTTCAGTGCTGTGAATTTAAGTATATGCTTAAAATTAAGTATATTTGAAAACAGTGGGATTGGCTAACTGAGAAATGGCTTTATTTAGGAAAAGGGATAAAGAATTATGTTGAAAGGCTAACTTTTCTTTGATTACCAGAAGTAGCAGGAGGATGTGGAAAACCTATATGAATCCATTTTATGGAGAGCCTAGGAATAGGGATTGTCGGAGTCTTTAAACTATTGAAGTATACAGATTAATCAGTTATTTTATTGGCATGCTGTAGTCCCAGGGGTATGGATATAGTCAAATGAAATACGCATTTAAAAATATTATAACTTAACACTACTTATACACTGATTTCATGCATTTCACATTTCAGAAGGGTGAAATTTACTTTAATGATCAGGCCAAGTTTCCCAATACTTGATTCAGTATGCTATAGTTTAGAAGATTTCTACATAGCCTTTTCAGCCACCCTCTCTCATTACGTGAGACATCTTACTATGCATGTGTGTGAAAGAGAGAGAGAGCTTTAAACTGTTGGGTTTGGGGATTTTGTTGTTTTGGATGTGGGTTCTGTTTTGGTAGCTAAATTTCTGTTGTGGATGGATTTTTATGGGAAACATGATAAACTAGAAGAATTCCTGTATCTTTTATTTCTATTTGTATTTTCTCTCTATACTGGAGCCTATAGAAATGCCTACCATGACAGCAAACAGCACCATGTGTTACCAACAATATAATCTATATTGGTGTTCTCTCCTGGCTTGAGGTGTTGTAGATCAAAAGGTTGCTTCAAAATTATTCCATGCTGACATTTGTTCCAGAAATGTATTTTCACCTCCTGTGCTGTGACATTGCAACTGTAGCTGAAGTTCTTAATGTAAAGCTTCAGGTAGTGAAGTATTTAATAATCAGTTTGTCAACCTTTTCTTAGTAAAAGCCCTAATGTTTGAGGACCTAATCATGCCTTCTAGTTGTATTCAGACACTTAACTCCTGCATAGGTCAGCCTTTCAAATTCTGGGATAAGTAGCTTTGTTGATGAGTGAGTAATTACTTGTTTTTGTTTCCACTTGGGCAGACAAAAACTGACAAATCACTGTTAGAAAATGGTCATGAAAATTGACCACAAAAACCACAAAATCTACTTGTTCCCCTTAACATGATTATGGTAAAAAAAAAAGCTAATTATATAACATGCTAATAGCATATTTTTTGTTTTGAGAACTGTCTGGAGCCCTCACAAGCTTTGTATCACTTTCTTAATCTGCATACCTTTTGAAAACTCTTGCCCATTCTCGCTAAAGCAAAAACCTATGTCAGAAGCAGCTACTGTACGCCCTTATTTTTAAAGGTACTGTTATATGATGCTAAATGCATGTCACCAAGTGTGCACAGGCAGAGGTCACCAGAGATGGTTTTTTTTAAGATGGCAAACAGCTATTTGAACACAGCTTGTGAACTATAGCTAAAATATTATTTTTTTAAAATCTTGGGATCTTTTGCTATTGTCTGTTCCCAGCATAATAATATAGATTTTCACTTCAGTTTAGCCAAAAAGGGAAAAGACCTGTGGTTTGGTAATCCATGACAGCCTGACAGTAAATTCTAGTGAGTACTCTGCTTCCTTTCCTCACAATAATTCTTACATTTCTAAAGATGTTACTGTTAAAGCTTCAGAGAATTTAAGGATAGATTTTCAGAATCTCAGTCAGTTTATTTGGATATAAAAAGGACAGTTTTACTGGAAGAGGCAGTGTAATAAATGAAATGACAAGCCTCTATAAAACATTTTTATAAAGATAAAATCACTTTTGTAGTCTTAGAAATTCTGTAGTTATATAAAATAGTGAGAACAGTAGGTTCTATATCAAAAAATACAGAGAAAATAATGTCAGTAGGAAATATGCCAGGGAAGAAAATTAATGGAGTTTTGCTTGATGGAAACTATGTAGAGAAAATAAACTTTTTGTTTTTGCAATCTTCTGGTTAGGCCTGAATGAAAAGTGGTAACAATGAAAGAACAGGAAGGAATTTGGTCTAGAAATCTGAGCTGAGAAAAAGAGAACAGCGAGAGGAGCAGTTGTCTAATTAATCTGAATAAATTAGAACTAATGTTTCTGAATGTTGCGGAGACTTAATTAATGTTTGTAAAGCACTTTGAAATTCTTGGGTGTAAGGTATTATATGAATGCAAATCGTTGTTTATTATTGTACTACTTATTTATATTTTTTCTGTATTCACTAAGTGTTAATGAGATAATGTGTAAGGCTATAATCATTCATGGACAAAGTTAATATACATGGTGGGGGGGGGGGAGATTAGATAGTTTCCAGTATTTGTGAAATGTTTTAGGGACCAACTGCTACTTTTTCAAAATAAGCCCACTAATAGGGTGTGTTGTACAAAATTCCTCCCCAGCTATGGAAATCCAAAAGGTACATTTCAGTCTCTGGGGAAATAAAGGCATAAAGTATTTAGAACTTTAAAAATATGCATAGAGTATTACTTCCTAGCCCTAGATAAATTTGTATTGTAGGCCTTGGTGACGACTCTATAGTTATAACTGAGATGCGTTTTGCATTTTACTGTTTCTTGGCCCAGATTAGAGGAAATTTATTCTTAAAATGAGATTTTTTTCAGTGTGTCTGAATGTTTTAACTCTTTGTGAGTGAGAGAGGGTTATTTTACACATGAGTAAGTGTGTTGAGCACTGAGTAATTTTATTTCCAAAATTACTAAAAATATAGTGTAGAGAAACAATTGTTTCTCTTACTACTAATTCAGGAATGAGACGAGACACCCCTTGCTATTTTAGTCATATAAGGTTCTTACCATTCCATAGGGTATACCATAACTAAAAAAGACCCTCAAAATTACTCAAGGTTTTTATTAATGAATAATGTATGTAGTACAGGAAAGAAAACAACAAGAGAATTAAAAAAAATGAATAATAAAATGAAGACAACTACATACTAAATGGTAGAGCAACATTTCAGGGTGGAGCTCTTGGGCTAGGTGGGCACTGTCCACACATCATAATCTGCTCATCACCTCTGTATGCTTGGATTATTTGTGCTCTTGGGTTGAGTCAGTGGGATGAGTCAGTGCTACCATGCTGACCCATTCCCCAGCCCCCCTTTGCAGAATCTTCTGACCTCTCTCCCCACCCAAGCCATACAGCACTGTTCCCTTTCCCTGGGCCCGCCAGAGAACATCCCCTCCTCCCCTCCACACACACTTTAAGGTGTGGTGAGGTCATTTACTTAATAGGAATGCAGCAAATCCTCTAATGGAGACAGTGTACTGTGGTCACTCTGCATGATAAGTGCTGACAAATGTCAACCTAAAAAAATCTCCGTTTATATCCTTAAAATTTTGAATATCTTATTTATTTTCCCTGAACAAGTGTGTATTTTTTTACCTTGCAGATATAGATGTTTTTCTCTCCCCCCCCCCCTTTAGTGCAGCATAAGCCAATTGATTCTATTTATTTTAATGTCTTGTAATCCAACATTATCAATTAGGTCAACAAGAATCTACTCAGCTTTGAAAAATGTGTCTTTAATTGATGCATCATGGGGAGCAGAAGGGAACAAAATGTGATATATTTGGGTATCTGTCTCTAATACACCCATTGATATGGTCTCTCTGGCTTTTCAAACAATGTCTTAGAATGAGTAGTGTACTTGTACATCAGATCCTAAATATCGGTTATTATATTTCCCACCAAATTACCATGTTAAGGTCCAGGAACTAAAATTCTAGCTGCAAACTATTTACCTGATGATACATTTGAAAATAACATCACAATTGCTCTAGTTTAATTTGCAATAGGGATGTTTGAAGAACCAAGTAAAACGAACATTTTATTAAAATTGATAGATTTTATAGCATTGGAGGAAGACTTTTTTTAATTGTCCCCATTGCAATCAGTGAGAGTTAAGAGCATTCACAGGATCAAACCCTAAGAGGTTAAGATGTTTGTTCATCATCTTGCATGATTTAAAACAAAGAATGCTCAATAAGCCCATTTGTACTGTGTGCACCCTACTCAGCTAAGAACCGTATTAAAGTAATCAAGCACATTTCATTTAGTTAGAACCTTTCACAGTGAGTGATATGTAGTTAGAAGAATCATTATTGAATATTCTAGTCAGGGTTGGGTGAAAGGGATTCCAGATAT